ATTATTTTCATTTATGGTGCTAAGGTCACTATAGTTAATCTTATTTTCACAATCTTCATTAAAAAGTTTAGCAAAATATCTCATCCATCTTTGTTGAATATCATCTTCTAAGTAAAGTAATTTTTGATCTTCATCTTTAATACACTTCACAATGAGTGGAATAAATGATATAGTGATAAAATAATTTATACTCTTTATATTTATTTGTATATATTATGTATTGATTATTTCATATATTTATACTCTTCCTAATTAATCATTAATTAATATTTATAAAACAAATTAAAAAACAAATTCTATTAAATTAAATTAAATCATAAATAATATTAAAAAATTTAAATTAATGTCTTTTTAATTGATTAATATTAATTTTATCAAAATAAATTTGAAATTTAAATTAATATATATTATTTAATTATTGTAAATAATATTATTAATCTTAAAATTCTAAACCCTCATCTTTCTCCCCCAAATCTAACCCGCCAAATTACTAATGCTAGATGTCAAAGAGCCAGGAAGTTGTGATGAGAGCTCGTTGGAGAAGACATCGATGGGAACATGTGAAGAAGAAGAAGAAGAGGACCAAAACCCTCGATTACAAAGAAGCCGGAAAGTCACGATATGAGCTTTTTGGAGAATGCACGACCTGTGAAGAAGAAGAGAAGTTCGTGAGACTGGTGAATTCATTAAATTTGCGCAATGCTAAAATTTGCTAAATTCGGTATTTAATTCAAAATGGAGAAAGAAATGGGGTTTAAGTTTCTATAGGATTTAAAATGTAGTAAGGATTAAAAATATAGATTTTTACTCAAAACCTCTTATAATATGACAACCAAATTCTCACCCTTTTTTTTTCAAATTAGACAATGTATTTAATGGGAGGATAATTTTGGATCAATTTTAAATAGTTGTTGGACCAGGTTGGAATATTGTAATACTCTTGGATTAAATTGGGTTTTCTCTGAATTTAATTTGGAATAAATAACCATTTCAATTTTAGAGACTTAAACAAATTTTAATTTAATTGGACTAAAGGGCTAGTTATAATTTAATATGATTGATTACATATCAATTATACTTTAATCAAGGATTACTTTTTATTTGATCAATGTTATTGACTACTTATACTTGATTAAGGTTAATTAATTCTTATATTATTTTTTAAATACATTATGTTATGTAAGCAATATCTATAGTACCGCCTAGTTTCACCTAGTAGGAGTTTGTGTAGTTCTTACTAAGACATTAGGAAATTATCTATAGAAAATTACCTCATGCAGAATCACCTTCTATACTCTATAGATATTCAACCACCTTTAAGGATATGCCAAAATGTTGCCAATGAAGGACATCATTGCGATGCATGCATGTATTGTCACGCCGCCTACTATTTGATATTTGAGGTTTTGCTTCTTTCTAATTCACGGGGATGCTATTTTCAAGGAGTTGGTTTGCTATTATTTTCTATTTTAGGTGACAGTTTGTAGTTTATTGTTTTTACAAAATTCCTAGTAGGCCTGACTTCTATTGATTGGTGAAAAAATTATTTTAAATATTTTATTTTTATTGAGGTTTATTTATGAAGTTGATGGTTCTCTTTACATAGAATAAGTTGATCATGTGTGTATCATATCTATAAGGATGAGGAGTCTATAAATATATATTATGAGGCATGCATATTTTTATCTTTGATTGGATAGAATTTTTTCTTCTAGTTTGAATCTTATACATGTGTGACAATTAGATGTGTGATTCCTTTGAGTATGGTGTAAGCCCAACTATCTAACTACGGGGTAACTCATCTCTTTGTACAGACGCAAGACCTGAATTCCTTTGGTGAATTATTTCCTTGACCTAATTTTTCTATTTATTTTGTTATTAACTTCTTAGTATTTCCTTATTTGTTCAAAATTGGCACATCTGAGGATTCTAATTGTGATGATTAAATTATGACAATTTGTCAAAAAAAAATTTCAGATTTATTTGATAATCATATATTTTTTTGTGTACTAATTTTAGTATTTACTATTTTCTTTTAAATAATTTTTTTTTTTTTCTAATTTAGTGGTTTGTGATATACTGATATGTAAATCATAAATTCTCATACATGATTTATATACATTACATTGTTCTAGTTGCATTAGGAAATCCTAGACCGTAATTGGTCTGCATCGCCTTCAATGACAACACTAGAAGTTAGTGAATCAAGGAACTTTAATAGATTTTGTTGTAGGCATTCTTTTTTCCTTCTCTGTTTATTTCAGCCTTTCTCTTTGGCGCTTACGTGGTAGTTTGATTGTATTACATATTAGGGCTTCACTAATTTACTTGCAAACTCATGGAATTTTCTTATTATTATTTTGAAATTTATCTTTTGGATCATAAAACCATTGACACGAAATATGTTTTTCATTGAGTGGCTTATAATTTTGCTTTTTTTTTTTGGTTGCTTCTTGAACATCCTTTTTGACTATGAAAAATAACAGGCAAACATCAATGAATAAACTTAAGAATAAGGCTACTCTCTTGAAGCCTAGTAGAATATCATTGTAGATTCATCATTAATTATTGGTTTGAATTAATGGAAATGGTTAAGATTCAATGCTTGCACAATTTCCATCCTTAGCTATCAAGCTAGAACATCTGATATCATAGTGCTTGTATGGGCTTCTTCTTGAAAGAAATTTAATGGTGTGTTTTTTTCTGAACTAGGATAATGTACTTTTTATTTTTATTTGTTGCACTGAATATTGTGACCATTTTGATGACCAAAATACAAATTTTTTGTTATTATGTAATTGTTTGATTCAAATTAATTAAAAAGTTGCTATTCATATTATTTATCTTTTTTCCTGCAAGATGAATGTGCGAGATTGGTTAACATTTGGAAATATGATTCTTAACCTGAATATTATTTATGGAAATATGGAAATACATAATCCTTTCATTTGTGGCCTTTTACATTTTTTATAAGGGATTTTGTTCTTCTATCCTTTTTTTTAATCTAATTTTTATGCTGGATTGGCAACTTTTCTATTGCATGGGTTTGAGTGCTTGGTTGAAGTCATTCTTAACTCACTCTTCCTTATTATAGAATTGTTCTGGTCTTCTGTGATGTGTCAGTGGACGCCTTATTAGTAATAATTTGTATATCCTAATTAATACAGCATTGGTATCTTCTTTGAAGTGTATATGCTTGTGTCTTTTGTAGTAGAAATTGTCTCTAAATCTTCCCATTCGTTTTTTTTTTAATTCTGAAGTCATTAATAAGCTGCAAACAACAACAAACTTGTCTCTTTTGTGACAAAAAAAACTGTATGTTATTCTGTCCTTTTTTGTTTTCTATTCTAAACCCGTCGATACACTAAAAACAAGATGTTGAATATTTCCTGCTAATTGATTGTAATGTTTAGAAGTTTCATGCCAATATTTTTTTTAATTAGTTTTGCTGAATTCATATCTTTAATGAGAAAATGTAAAGAACTACTTGATTGCTTGATACAATTACATCAGCTTTTTACTAAGTTTTCTGCTCTTTTATGGCTGCAGCATGCTCTGTACATTATTTATATTGCCTGTGGTGTATTTGCTGCCGCATGGATTGGTAAGTTTCAGTTTTTTTTTTCTTTGATCCAATTTTCATTATTTTTAATGCATTGCTGATTTATCTTAGCTATCTGTGATCCTTGATTAATGAATCATGGAATTGTAACAGAGGTTTCTTGCTGGATTTTCACCGGAGAGAGGCAGACTGCAGTGATCAGGTCAAAGTATGTCCAAGTATTACTAAACCAGGACATGAGCTTTTTTGATACTTACGGTAACAATGGAGACATTGTTAGTCAAGTTTTGAGCGACGTGTTGCTTATTCAATCTGCTCTGAGCGAGAAAGTATGCCTTTGTGCTCCAGTTGTTACTTAATGTATATGATTTTTTTGTTTTAACTTGAACACCTAGATAATTCACGAAATAAATTCTTTCATGATATGATCATCTACATTTAATTTTCTGCAGTTGTTTTCTAATGTTCACAATTATACTTTTCAGGTTGGAAATTACATACATAATATGGCTACTTTTTTTGGCGGTCTTGTTATTGGTCTGATCAACTGCTGGCAAATTGCACTCTTGACACTGGGTACAGGTCCATTCATTGTTGCTGCTGGGGGCATATCAAACATTTTTCTTCATAGACTTGCTGAGAACATTCAAGACGCATATGCTGAAGCTGCAAGCATAGCTGAACAGGTTTTATTTCTGTTTTTTTTATTATTTTTTTTGCGCAGAAGACTGACCTATATAAAATGAGATGGATAAGGTTGAAAATTGTGTCATCTACTAGTGCATTCCTTTCCACACTTCATGACTAATAATAAAGAGTGCTTTATCTTATCTATTTAACATCAGTACCCGACATGTTTGTTAGGCTACTACATGCACATAAAGCCTAAAGCAGCATCTGGTATTGCCTAGCCATTTCATTTAAGAATATGCATCTGATAATCATTTATTCATTACAATGAATTGTAAGCAAATTGTATTTTATTTAAACTTAAAAACATGTTTCCCATTTCATTCCTAAAACAAAATTTCTTTACCTAATCTAGTTTAATTTGTATTAAATATATGATGCAGGCCATCACTTACATTAGAACTTTGTATGCATTTACAAATGATACATTGGCAAAGTACTCTTATGCTACTTCACTTCAAGCAACACTGCGTTATGGTATATTGATTAGTCTTGTGCAAGGCCTCGGGCTTGGGTTCACATATGGACTTGCCATATGTTCTTGTGCTTTGCAACTTTGGGTTGGAAGGTTCCTGGTATTGCATGCAAAAGCAAATGGCGGTGAAATCATAACTGCTCTATTTTCTGTAATTTTGAGTGGCCTGTACGTGTTCTGAACTTGAGCAGCTCTATTTTGACAGATTTTCCTATGTCTTCACTATTTTCTGAGTATAATTTTTTTTTCTCCCAAACTCTTGTAGTGGACTAAATCAAGCAGCAACGAACTTCTATTCGTTTGAGCAAGGCAGGATTGCTGCTTATAGACTTTATGAGATGATAAGCCGTTCAGCTTCCACAATCAATCATGATGGAAATACCCTAGCTTCTGTGCAAGGAAACATTGAATTCCGCAATGTATATTTTAGTTACTTATCTCGTCCTGAAATACCCATTTTAAGTGGGTTCTTCTTGACTGTACCCTCTAGAAAAACAGTGGCACTTGTTGGTAGGAATGGTTCTGGAAAAAGCAGCATAATTCCTCTCATGGAACGTTTTTATGATCCTACATTAGGTAAGTTGTTCATGAGCATGCGGCTTATCCGTTTTAAAAGTCGTCTAGATGCTTGGCTGTATTTTAAATATTTATCTTTTTAACTTTGGATCTTTTTTTTTTTAATTGCAGGGGAAGTACTTTTGGATGGAGAGAATATAAAAAATTTGAAGCTTGAATGGTTGAGAAGCCAAATAGGACTTGTCACACAGGAACCAGCATTATTAAGTCTGAGCATTAGGGACAACATTGCTTATGGGAGATCTGCTACTTTTGATCAGATTGAAGAGGCTGCCAAGTCAGCACATGCACATACCTTTATTAGCTCGCTTGAAAAAGGATATGATACACAGGTATGGAAGCATTTTCTGTCTTAAGCTTGTTGGGTTTTTTTTTTTTTTTAATCTTTTCAATATGGCTTCTTGTTTTAACTATTGCCTTTCAGGTTGGAAGGGCTGGTTTAATTCTAACAGAAGAGCAAATGATAAAGCTTTCTATTGCTCGGGCTGTACTTTCAAATCCATCTATTCTTCTTCTGGATGAGGTCACAGGTGGCCTAGATTTTGATGCAGAAAGATCTGTTCAGGAGGCATTAGACATAATCATGCTTGGAAGGTCAACTATAATCATAGCTAGACGCCTTGGACTTATAAGAAATGCTGACTATATAGCAGTGATGGAGGAAGGTCAACTTGTTGAAATGGGTACACATGAAGAATTGCTTACCCTCGATGGCCTTTATGCAGAGCTCCTCAGATGTGAAGAAGCAACAAAGCTTCCTAAAAGGTATTTTTGTTTTTCTATATTTCTCATTTCCTAGGTTACGATATTAGCTCCTATGTTTTCTCCAGCTTTATCTGAGATGGACGTGTCCATTTTTTAATTAACATTATCATTATCAGGACACCTATCAGGAATCATAAAGATCTTGCAACTTTTCAAATTGAAAAGGATTCATCTGCTAGTCATTTTCTCCAAGAACCATCATCTCCGAAGATGGTTAAGTCCTTCTCAGTTCAGAGGGCTCTTGGATTTAGTACTGTGAAGCAGCGAGATGGTAATCGCAGCTTACAGGAATCACCAAAGGTTCATAGCCCTCCCTCTGAGCAAATTATTGAAAATGGGATGTCTATGGTAATTGCAGAAAGAGTACCATCCATCAAACGACAGGATAGTTTTGAAATGAGGTTGCCAGAACTTCCTAAGATTGATGTACATTCACTGAATCGTCAAACGTCAAACACTTCAGATCCTGAATCACCTATATCTCCTCTTTTGACTTCAGATCCCAAAAATGAGCGTTCCCATTCAAGTACTTACAGCCGTCCACTTAATCAGTTTAATGATATGCCCATCAAACAGAGATATGCAAAAGACTCGCAGCATCTGAAGCCACCATCATTTTGGAGACTTGTTGAGCTCAGCATAACAGAATGGCTTTATGCTCTCCTGGGAAGCATTGGTGCTGCTATTTTTGGATCATTTAATCCTATTTTTGCTTACACAGTCGCATTGATAATGGCAGCATATTATAGAATTGGTGTGGAAGATGTTCGAAATGAAGTGAACAAATGGTGCCTTATCATTGCTTGTTTGGGCTTTATCACTGTGGTTGCCAACTTTTTGCAACATTTCTATTTTGGCATTATGGGGGAAAAAATGACCGAGCGTGTTAGAAGGATGATGTTCTCAGGTAATTAGCCTTAGGAGCTCTCTTAGTTTGTTTTCTAACGGTCATGTTAAAGTTAAGATGCGGTTAATTTTAACTTCGACATTGATGCTTTTCAGCAATGTTACGCAATGAAGTAGGATGGTATGATGAGGAGGAGAACAGTGCAGACACATTATCAATGCGCTTGGCAAATGATGCCACATTTGTCCGGGCTGCTTTCAGTAATAGACTTTCTATATTCATACAGGACGCTGCTGCTGTTGTTGTGGCTATTCTAATTGGAATGTTACTTGAATGGCGGATTGCATTAGTTGCATTGGCCACTTTACCCATTCTTACAGTTTCTGCTGTTGCACAGGTGAGCTAATATATAACTGTAGCCTTCTTTTTGGTGTTGATTAATGTTTCTAGCATCTTCATAGTGCTGATAGTTGATTAGTGGTTCAGGTTGGACTTGGGATTCTTTCCTCTGGCCTAAATACTTTAGCATTTATACAAGGAAATATAAATAGAAGTATTTGTATAAATATGGACATTGATTTGTTGCTTATTCTTCCATATTTAGTTATTGTATACTTCTCCATGGATTTATTTCATTTTTAGCTTCTACAATTGCATGCTTGTATTTAAATTTAACTGCTGGTGGGGATGAAGTAGCAGGACATAAGATGGTACTGTAGCAAAGCTGAAATGGGTAAGAAGTCAACAAAAAAACTTCAAAACCCAGAAGTGGGATAACTGTAACTGCGAAAAAACTGTGTTACAGTGATTGATTTAGGGCATCTCCAACCGAACGGCAAACACTTGTTTGCCGTTCTTGCTTTGCTCCAACCGATCTCCATTTTTGACGCCATTTGATCGCGGATGAACAGTGCGACGCCAATATTGGCGTTGCACTGTTCATCTGCGGCATTTTTTTCTCTCTACCGAACAGCTTGGGAAGAAAGGCGCGAACGAAAACGATCATTTTAGCGGCAAAATGGCGTTGGATTGGAGATGAAATACGGCATTTTTTGATTTCTCTGCATTTTGGAGTGAAAAATGACATTTTCGGTTGGAGATGCTCTTAGCAATTCACATTGTGATAGTGATTCTGAACTCAGTAAGTGCTGATTAGAATTCAACTGGCTGAGTCGAATCCATGCTCTAACAATCTATTCAAATTACTAGATAACTCATCTTTATTTATTGGAGCTGACTTCGTAGACATTTTCATAACCGTTAAAGTGAATTAGGAAATTAAAAATAAGAATTAATACACATGAATTTAATTTCTTATGAACACCGACCTTCAGGTTTACTTCAACTTCTCTCATACGTGGTTGATATTCTGGACAGTTCTGTTAAGAACCTTGCTGCCTCGTTTGAAATGAAACCTGATTTTATATTTTGCAGTTTTATTGTAACATTTAAAACTTGCTTAGAAATTGCCATGGGAAGTGACCCTTATACTCTGTTATCAACTTTATGAATTAATGCTTAATCATCGCCATTACCGGTGACAGAAAATGTGGCTTGCTGGTTTTTCAAGAGGCATACAGGAGATGCACAGGAAGGCCTCTTTGGTCCTTGAAGATGCTGTTAGGAATATCTACACTGTCGTGGCATTCTGTGCTGGTAACAAGGTGATGGAACTTTACGGGTTGCAGCTAAGTGGAATATTGAAGAAGAGCTTTTTTCATGGCTTGGGCATTGGTTTTGCCTTTGGCTTCTCACAATTCCTCCTTTTTTCGTGTAACGCTCTTCTACTCTGGTACACTGCTGTCTCCGTTCATGACGGACGTCTCAAACTCGTCACAGCTCTCAAAGAATACATGGTTTTTTCTTTTGCCACCTTCGCATTAGTAGAGCCTTTTGGCCTTGCTCCATATATTTTAAAAAGGCGAAACTCGCTCATTTCAGTATTCGAAATCATTGACCGGGTTCCCAAGATTGATCCAGATGATAATTCTGGTCTCAAACCGCCATCCGTATACGGAAGCATCGAGCTAAAAAATATCGATTTTTGCTATCCGACTCGCCCCGATTCAATCATTCTGAGCAATTTCAGTCTCAAAGTTGGCGGCGGACAAACAGTTGCAGTGGTGGGTGTTTCTGGTTCTGGAAAGAGCACAATCATTTCTCTTATAGAGAGATACTACGATCCTATCTCCGGCCAGATCTTGCTGGATGGGCGTGATCTCAAGCTATTCAATTTAAGATGGTTGCGAAGCCACATGGGTCTGGTACAGCAGGAGCCCATCATCTTCTCCACAACCATCAGGGAGAATATCATATATGCTAGGCATAATGCAACTGAAGCTGAAATTAAAGAAGCAGCTAGAATTGCAAACGCCCACCATTTTATAAGCAGTTTGCCTCATGGCTACGACACTCAAGTTGGCATGAGGGGAGTTGATCTAACACCTGGCCAGAAGCAGAGGATTGCGATCGCCCGCGTGGTGCTGAAAAACGCACCTATATTGCTGTTAGACGAAGCGAGCTCCGCGATCGAGTCCGAGTCCAGCCGAGTCGTGCAAGAAGCTCTTGATACATTAATTCTGGGCAACAAAACCACCTTATTAATTGCTCATAGAGCAGCAATGATGAGACATGTTGATAACATTGTGGTTCTTAACGGTGGCAAGATAGTTGAGCAGGGCAGCCATGACACCCTGGTTCAAATGAATGGCCTCTATGTTCGGTTAATGCAGCCTCATTTCAGTAAAGGACTCCGGCAACATCGGCTTGTGTAAGCATCCTTTGTACATTATCTTTAGATCAAAGTTCTCTCATTGATGAAATTCTCACCAAGCGGAGTGAGTTAACTTTGGATTTTTGACACTCGAGATGAGACTATTATTTCGTTTGGGACGGCTTTTTTATTGTGTTTTAAAGCAGTTTTCTAGTACAAAAATTTTTAATTATTGAACTAAAAAAATTGTTTTAAGAAGCAGCAAGAAAGCTGTCGCAAACGAAGCCTATAGCAGTGGTAGATAGCTTTGGGATTCGAGGCCAGTGTAATGGTTCAGATGGCTTGGTAGGATCAGTCTGTATTCTTTCCGAGGCTTTGTATTTCCCCCCATTGTATTAATTTGTTAACTATAGGTACTTCTTCTATATTGCTTCAGATTTAGTTCGACTCAGTTCTTGCAATGTACATAACATATAGTTCTTATGCCAGGTTTCCAGCTCGCCTGAAAATACTATAGATTTCTTTTCGTGTTCTGCTATAATATATATATGAATTTTTTTTTCCACAAAGATTACTAATTATTATTATTAGTACATTCTTTATGTGATTGTCATCAGATTTGATTATTTAGGCTTAATTTGTTTCGGCGTTTTTTTAAACTTTTTTTGTTTAGAAATGATGAAATTGTTTTTTGGTCGTTGTTTGGATGGGGCATTTCTATAGAAATGTTTTTTAGGGAAATTCATTTTTCTACTGTTTTGAGAATCTTTTTGATATTTGATTCTCCGTTAGAAAATTTCATTCTCTTAACCAATATTTCTATAACTACTTTTTTTACAAAAGGAGAGGAAGAACCAAACAAAGCATTACTATGTTGATATTGCGGAAGTTTTAATAGCATTTTTAGCTAGTAGTTTTTAGACTTTATTTCATAAAATATTGTTGTTGGGGATCTTTCTTTGCTGATGAAACTAATTGTTCTATATTTTAGTGGTAAAATTTTGTTTAGTGATTTGTTGGTTTAAATTTTAATAAATTTATCTCAAATAAATACTTTTATCATGAAAAAAGTTAGGTGAGGACATTCTTATAAAAAATTGGTCAAGAGAGTTTTTAATTTCTTAGATAAGCTTTAAGATAGGCGCAATTTGAAGTTGATTGATTATTTATATAAAAAATCAGGAATTTAAAATTTATTATGACCAAAGTGTGAAAAAACAATTATTTATTTAAAAAATCAGGAATTTAAAATTTCTTATGACCAAAATATGAATAAAATATTTTCATAATTAATAAAAATACTGGCCAGGTTAGGAACTTTTATTTGGTCTGGTGAACGTACGTAGAGCTACGTCCGGTCTGCACTAAGATTGCATGCACAAAATGAGAAATACCGAGCAATACCAATAATAACGAGAAATATCATTAGGTGAAGATGAAATACCGAGCAATACCGAGTTATACCAAAAAATACCGAGTAAAACTCGGTATTTTTTGGTATAACTCGGTATTGCTCGGTATACCTCGGTATAACTCCGTATTGGTCTTCCCAGAGCGGTATTCCTCCATATTATCAAACAATACCTATCAATACCGATCAAATACCGAGCAAAAATTGAGTAACAAGCCTCTGACCGGACGTAGATTTAAGTCCGGTCAGAGGATGTAATAATCGTTCCCAGGTTGGACCATCCCACAGAGTTTATGAACTTATAATTAATTGATCGCACTAACCAGACACTGATTTGCATTAAAAAACTACTAGCCGTCTGTCCCTGATTTTCAATGGCTTGTCCCTTCAAGCTCGGCTTTACAAATCTCAGGGAGACCCTCTCTTCTCACTTTACAAGAAGCTTAAAACAATCAATAATATGTAAGCTTTAAGTTGCTGGCTGGAATTCAGAGAGCTTCTTCTCTAAGTTTAAGTGAGGTTATTGGTTTTCCTCTTTGGGGGCTGTTTGGTAGCAGGATTTAAGCCGAATTTGAGCGGAATCCAACCAAACATCCTAAAATGTAAAACCAAATCTCACGGCAAATGCAATCCGTTGTAGACGAAAAACTTCGCCGATTCGCTCTAAATCCCGGATTTCCGAAATCCTATATTCTGCTAGATTTACTAAATCCATGGCGCTAGAGAAAGAGTCCGCTTGGTAAATCCTGCTCTATAGCCAAACATTCACATGAGATTTAAGAGGATTTATCATGAATATTACCAAACAATTTTCAGGATTTAAGCCCCTCATGATTTCCGAAATCCAGATTTAGAAGATTTATGAAATCCTACTTAAATCAAATCCGTGGTGCTTACCAAACAACCCCTTCATTCCGCTTATTTGTGGCTTCCTATTTTCAACCTTTAAACCTCATATCTTTGACTTTCAATCTCTAATTGATAAAACTTTTTTTTTTCTTTGTTTGAAGGATGAAAAGTCAAATTCCTTTCTTCGGTTAAGATATATCAACTTCTTACATCCTAAACCCTAAACAAAGTAGTATGATTTCTCTTTGTTTGAAAAATCCTACCCCCTTAGCTATTTTATTCATTCTTGACTTGCTTTTCATAAAAGCTTCAAAATGATGGATACCTTTGCAATTTTAAGTATAATTGTGTATCATCAATGCAATTAAGAACTTTTCTCATGCTCCTCCTTTGAATGCCATTCTTAAAAGCTAGCTTTTCTAGACTAGACAGCCACCACTTAGCTTATTAATGACATAGACTCCATCTTCACAAAAGTACTATCTTATTTCCTCTATTATATATGTTTGAAAGGAAATATTAGAAAATTAAGAAAAATATTGCTAGTACCTATACTACTTTTTCTACTCTATTCTATGAAAGGTTTTTATTTGGGATTTTTACATACATACCACTTTATAGTTTGTGTATTACATATTTAACACCTAATTCTTAAATATTACACTCCTATCACCGATTCTATATTTGGCTGGATAAGATTGATTCGGGAGCCCATTGTACAGCCCAATTTGAACATGCTCGACTCACTTACACCTGGAGCTCTGCTCTGAATAAATAATATTTATTAATAATGAAATGCAGCTCATTGTAGTCTTTTGGTTGACTATTTTGACTACTAAGCAAGAGAATTTAAGATTCATTCGAGACGTTTTTCTTACTCCTTAAAGCAAAATTTTAATATAAAATTAAAAAAATTTATACTAAAAAGATTCTTAAATAGTAAAAAAACCGTCTTAAACTAATCTTTAGATTCGAAGCTTCCTACTTACCAAACGTCTCAAAAAAAAAAAAAATAATAATAATAATAATTAATGGGTGTTCATCTAATAATAATTAATAGGTTTGTGCCTTTCGGCGCAAACTGACTGAAGCAATCGCCCTTTCACCGCCCATTTAAGTCCTTTCCTTTTGGCGCGAAAACCTGAAAGAAGGACGATTGCAGAAAGACGCCGCTTCTACATTCCCTTCCTCCTCGTCGCACACGAAACCCTAACTCCCACCAAAATCCTTGCTGCCGAGGTTCGCTTGAATTCCCTAACATTGGCGGACCCTTGCAATGAGCCACGGAGGTGTGCCTCGAGAGCAATGGTTCTTCCCCGGCGAAGTTCTACGGCGTCGGTGAGGCGGTCGTGCCGGAGGACCCGCGAAGTAAGTATGTGGAGGCACGACTATGTGATGGAAAGGATACATTAGTAATTTTTTTGTTGATGAATGTTATTTTAAGAAAAATACTTTTCTAATTTTTACTGTGCAATGTCCTTTAAAAATTGTAGAATTTAAAATTTAGGGTTTCTTTAGTTTCTAAATTAAATTTAACGATTTTCAATACTCAAATTTAAGAATAAAATATAATATAATTTATATTTCTTCGTACATATATAAAAGAGGAGGGGACAAATGGCTCCATTTTAGGGGTGTAAACTAATAGAGTCAGAGCTCGAGTGAGAGGGTGTTCGAGCTCGAACTTGAGTCGAGCTTGTGACACTGGAATGAGCTCGTCGAACCACTCGATTTTGGTTTCCCACCTGCCAGCAGTTTTCCTGCCCGATTTCTTGGCCAGCGACACTGTAAAGTGCACACACGGCTCATCTGTTTCTCCCGTGGATAAAAAAGAGTCCTGCGTGTTTTGTGTTGAAGTTTTAAATTTTTTTTTTTTGAAAAACCAACTATAGTATTATAATTGCAGCTTTAACATATATATATATTGGGAAATGTTGTTTTGCAGCTTTAATGTTTTTTTTTTGAATAATTAATTACAGTTTTTTTAAGATTTAAATTTAATAAAAATGCTAATTACTTTATTTTAAAAAATCCTAAAATAATTCGAGGCGGCTCAAGAGCAGAGCCACATCAAGCTCGAACTCGAGCTCGTGAGCTTAATAAGCTCGACTCGCGAGCCCATAAACGAGTCGAGCTCGAGCCGGCTCAGTTCACTTACACCCCTAATCCCTTTGTAAACCTTCTAGAGCAAGAAAAAGAATAGAAGCAGTTGGGGTTTCTCCTTTTCAACAGTGACATAATCCAGCTAAATAGGGAATTTTTAACACTAATCAGATTTCACAACGAAGGTAGTTATTCTTCCAAGTTCCAACCTTTGTTGGAAGATATCAATTCTTCAATGCTTAATGATTGAGCGTGGAGAATTTCATACCATGCAAGCATTTGAACTTGAGAAAGTACATAAATTGTTGCATAAACCATGATATGTTGTAGTCCTTGAACAACCCCCACTCCCCTCAGTATATTCAGGTCGGATCATGACAATATTAGACTAGGCAACCCCAAAATAATCCAAATAAGACTTGATAATTCACGTTAGTGGTCATATAAAGCTCCCTGATCTATGTCTACAACTACATGCATCACTAGACTTGAAGCAATGGCGGCCAAGGTCCCTCGGCTCCTCGTACTAGAGTTTATTTTGTAAAATATTGGATGATATACCCAACTTTTAGATTTCTTAGCGAAAGCTGCCTTAAATTAATAATGTGTACACGTTGAATAGGTGGAGCACTTGAAATAAGAGACATCAATAAATATAATATTCTGAAATCCACACTATAACGGAAAGCTTATTGGATTAAAATATTTGTGTTGCGTCCAGGAGTATTCGCGGCGGTAGAGAAATACCATATTTAACGTCTTAGCATTGTACGAAAATCCGGCACGCAATCAGATAAGGAGAGAGGGTCTAGCATTTATGAGACACCAAGATTTTTACGTGGAAAACCCCTGTAAAAGGGGGAAAAATCACGGGGCCTAGCCCAGTTTGAACGAATCCACTAGTATTCGCAGTCGATCACAAATGAGGCCCTTCCTTGTGAGAAGGCCTTAGCTTGATGTACATCTTATGGAGTACATTACATGATGTAAATACAAAGAGCTACTATCGACGTATTCACTTTGTTAGAAGGACTGCAGTCGGCGGGCGACGTAGGTCAGGAGGACCGTAGTCAGCTGGCGACGGATGACTGTAGTCGGAAAGACTGTAGTCGGCGGGCGACGTCGGCTGGCGACGGAGGTCGGAAGGACTGTAGTCTGACGACGAAGATCAGTAGGACAGCGTCAGGTAGAAGTCCAACAATGGAAAGAAATGCATCTTCGCATAGGCGTCTAGCGAAGTCCGATAACTGATAGAAGTCTAGCATCGGGTAGAGACTTGGAGAAGAGTGAAGGTCCAACGTCGGGTAGAAGTCCGATGTACCGGCAGTTTCGCCGCCAAATGGCACTGCAGGTAAACGGTTATGACCCGGGGCCCTCTGAACCGAGTGGTTTTGCCGCCAAATGGCACCACAGATAGCGGTTATGGCCAGAGCCAATACGCTCCTTAATGGCGTTAAATCCTTGAGATATGAATCAATAGGATATGATCGATAGGGCACAAAGCTCTCTGTTAGCTAAGGTGGATTCAAATTTGTCCCCTTAGACAAACATCAACCCCGGTCTACAAGGTTCCCTTGGACGAAGCAACTCATGGCTGCCGATAAGGATCCTTCTGTCAGGTTGGGTCGACTACCTCCTCTGACTAAGTAGACCAGGGACCACGATGGCCCGGGATGACGGAACCATGGGATCTTGATCGGGCCCATCATTCATTCCCCCACCATCCGCTTTAAGTGCTAGGTGGTGAAATTTCATATTTTAAATATCAAGCTTTTCAATACTTTCTAAATTCCCAAATCCAAATCCAGTTCTCCAATATCCAAACCTATGCTGCTACTATATGCCAGATAACACGTATTTCTATACGTATCTGATTGACGACTAGCCTTAATCGAAAGTTCTCTCTCGTGATCGGGAGGGGTAATTAACTATAGGGGCTTGCGCCTATAGGAAACCAGAACTCAGATCATAAAGTCCTCACAAAATGAGGGCGAAATCTCTGGGTAGTGTCTTATCTACAAACCCATCTGCCTTCCAAAATTTACCTCGGAACTTAGTTCGTTAAAACTCCCTCGTCGAATAAGAAAAAAGCGAGCGCGGAGGCCGGGGCCGAATTTTCGGAGCCCACACTTTCCTGAAAAAGGCACAATTCTTTGAGAGCCCAAGATCTATACCCACATGGTCCTCACCACTACAGGTACTTGTGCCACATGGCGTATTATAGTTAATGGCTTCCACATGCTATTAAGCGCATTTACAAGGCAAAAATTTACAAATGATACAGGATGCTTCTTTTTGAATTGCATAGCTGTTTTGAAAGAAAATAGTTGAGATAACTATTTTTTGCAAGTTAAAAAAAAAAAAAAGCTTTCTTCCAAATTGTTCATGGTATATTGTAGCTTAGGAATATCTATCTTGTTTCCTGAGGTTATGTTTTTTTTAGATTCTTTTGGTACGGAATATTATCTAAGTTCATCATGGCTAGAAGATTGGATGCTGCGTATCATTTCAGGCAGCTAAGTTTGCTAAGATTTGACAATATATATTACAAAATTATAGTTTTATTACCTCCATGATGTTTCTGGATGGAATATTTTGTCAAAAGTTTCCACGCTTTAAGGTAAAAGTATGGAGGAGATAGATGCTCATGTTATTACTTACAATACTTTGATTAGAAGAAAAAAGTTACTTGGTGGATCCTGTTATTATCGAACGTTTGGAATATGTTAAAGGCTGTTAATTGATGTGACTTTTTATTTAATTCTTGTAGGCTTTGTTCATGACGATTTCAGGCATGACGGTCATCCACTTGTTACTTAATAACAAAGACAAATTTAATATTATATACTTAGAAAGTAACCAGCACTAGTTAGTTTTTTAATCTTAATAATGATATGAAACTATAGCTTACAGAGTATATTAGGATGAGATAATTTAGTTTAATATTCTTTAGGTATCTGTTGAGCATGCTCTTGTTTGCATCTCCTTGCTCTCTATTATTTTAGTTTGTGTTACTTGCTGATATAGCAGTAAATAGGACCACAGCCATGACCTTCTTTTGGAGCAAGAAATGTGAATACTATTAGGTCCACCATGTTCATCTCTTACCTACTATAACATGTGTCTAACATTATTACCTGTAATTGGATTGTTGTTCCACTTTTGGTTCAGCTTTATTTGTCAATTCATGCGGAGACATCTCTCTCAAGGAAAATACTGTTTAGGTTATTCTGAGCAAAGTGATGCAATGTATATAGTTGTGTTTGAGGTGGAGTTTGATGTTGATTATTTCTGTTTAGTATGAGGGGATGTAGGGGAACCCAATCTAAGTGATTTGGGGCTTGAAAGGCTTTTGGGAAGTGTAGATCCAAAGGTAGTTAAAATCCACCAAATGGTGTTGGGGTTTGGGCTGATTTTTAGGTGATTGCTTTTGTGTGGAGCTTCACAGGGGTTTATATGCCAAGAAATGATGGGTGAATTATTCTTTTGAATGCTTAGGATGCTAAGAATAAGGACGTGGAGTCATTTAGTGCAGTTTTTGGAGGTTTTGGCGTGGAAGTTGAGGGAAGGTTAGTTGGTTGAGTTTGGACAGATTTTGGGTGGCTTATATATTTTGTGAACAAATTTGTGTAGGAGTATGAGAACTTGGAGAGAAGCTCTAGACCACTTAAAAGAGATGTTTAGATGAGAAATACATAAATAAATCATACAATAAAATAATAATGACTAGTATTATCTCCAAGTTCATCAAGCTTTCCCTAAGGAAGATTAAAGTCTTCTCCAATTTAATTCAATGCCATTTCCTTACATATTAGATGGTATTTGTAAGCATTACACTTAAGGAGAAGATAAAGAATTCAATGGGTAGTCAAATTACAATTGTAGCAATTCGGACTTTCTTTTGACTTTATAACTCTATTTTTGAAATTCAAAAATATTAAATTTTACTTAATGTAGTTGTTGGATGATGGAGCAGCCCTCTAGAAGTCTCGAAAGATGATTGTCTATGCGTGTTTTGACTTGGACTTTGATAAATTAGTAAAGTGAGGTGGTCAAGCATATGTAACATTATGGACCCACTTGAACTAAAATTCTAGCTCATAATATTTTTTTTTTCAATTTTGACATTCTTGCATTACAAATACCATTTTCCTTGAGTCAAATGAAAAATAAGATAACGAAAATAACAAAATATAAGAAAATTAATATTCAATAGCAGTCGTGGATTTGGTAATTGGTCTATGCTGCACGCCCACACCTATACT